CCGAGTATTTGCAATTGAGCATAATAGCTTCCACCGACGTCTTGGTACGTTGAAATATGTCCGATTTATGAGACCTAATGATAAAGTAAATACTGTCGTACTACGACAGGCAACTGTATTAGAGGAAATGCCTGCATTCCCGGAACGTGAGTCCTCAATTCTCGCGGTTCTAAAGAAGAAGAAACCTGGTCGCGTGCCGGAGAACGAGATTAGGGAGAGTAAGAGCCCGGCCCCCAACACCAATCATCATGCTGAACCACCATCGGCCACTGCGGCGGTTACCGCGGTAAATAATACGTCCGCGGATCTTTTAGGTTTGTCGACGCCACCGTCGTCCCAGCCAACTAGCAATACCGGTGTTCTTTTGGACGTTTTGGGCGACATATACAATATGCCGAATAAAGTTGGCGCGACGAACGGCACTCAAAACATGTACAATCCTAAAAAGTAAGTTGTCCTTGGAAAATGGCATTCTTAAATATTGATTTAATACGATAATCGGTAGTTGATACAATCAACGATTGTACCTCCTAGATTCGTTTGTAAGAACAACGGAGTGCTCTTTGAGAACGATTTGATTCAAATCGGTGTGAAATCCGAATTTCGACAAAATCTAGGACGCGTTGGTCTTTTCTACGGCAACAAAACTCAGTACGCGTTGCATAGTTTTCAACCGCAGCTATCTTGGTCGGAAGAGAATCAAGCAAAATTGGCCGTTCAAGTTAAGCCCGTTGATCCTGTCCTGGAAGCTGGCGCACAGATTCAACAAATGATTAATGCCGAATGTATCGACGATTATAGCGGTAATCATAAATCTTTATTTATTCCTTAATCTCCAACTGCTCCGATATTTATCGGAATCCTTTTATTTCCTTAGATGCCCCTAGTATGCTCATATCCTTTATTTACAACAACGTGCCGCAGAAGATTACGATGAAGTTACCATTGACGATAAACAAATTCTTCGAACCGACGGAGATGAATGGAGAATCCTTCTTTGCACGGTGGAAGAACCTTGGAGGGTAGGCTGACCTAAAAAAGAGAAACATATTCTACTCGGTACATAATAGGTGTACGTATGTATAGTAATATATGAACGAACGTTTTCAGGGCGAACCAACAACGCTCGCAAAAGATATTCAAAGCGCAACAACCGATGGACTTGGCCCAGGTCCGTACAAAATTGCAAGGATTTGGAATGCAGTTATTAGACGGGATCGATCCTAATCCCGACAATTTCGTTTGCGCGGGTATAGTTCACATGAGAGCTCAGCAAGTTGGATGTTTATTACGCCTTGAACCCAATAAACAGGCGCAGGTAATATTTATCGCGGAATTTTTTTTTAACATCCCGCAGTACAATTAATGAGACATTTAATGCATGATTTCAGATGTTCCGATTAACTGTACGTTCGAGTAAAGAGTCTATGTCGGTCGAGATCTGTGACCTGCTAGTGGACCAATTTTAATAAGGCCTAGCAGGCCGCGTATAAGCGACGAAAGAAGCTAGTTTATGGTGACGTTGCGGGAAGACGCGATAACTCTTGATGGAGCATCGTATGTCGTCTCGCGTCGTACACCAGAGAAAGCAGATACTGATAATTAATCGTTAAGAAGCGTGCGTTGTACCCAAGCTTACGGATAGACCTTTGGTTGCTATAATATCTATCACACCAATGCAAGGAAAGTGATGCTCTCAAGAAGATATTTGGTGGCACGATAACAAGTAAGATGGTAAGGTAAAAGATAAGAAAAGAAAATAAAGTAACGGTGTTTCCTAAACAGCCTAGCGTTAGAACGTAAGATTATTATAAATGAAAGAAAAGAAAGTCAGAAAGGGGTCAAACTTTGACAAAACGAAAGTTACATGATATGCCGCATGTATCATTATACTTTGTATATCGTTTCTACGCGACGTTTCCATCTTTTATTAGACTCAGCATTCCGACACGGACGTAACGTATGTACCTTTAGTTTCTAATTTCGCGTGTCGGTTCGTAAACGTTCTTGTCAACGTCCGAAATCTTTTCTGGGTCCGAATTTTGTCAGCAGAGAAGGTAGCAAGTAATTGTTCGCATCCATGTCTAATTTTTTGTCTTTTTTTTTTCTTTTTTCTTTTTTTGGAAAGCGACCATTTCCATTTATATTTTGTCTGTCTGTCTGTCTGTCTGTCTGTCTGTTTGTTTACTTGCTGCGTGCGTGCGTGTTTGTTGTCGTCTCTACGTGTGTATGTGTGTTGCGTGCGCATGTTGAATGACACTCGTACCGTACAGAACAAAACGAGTACGCGCGATGTGTGTACGTTCTTTTTATATAGCGAGCATCATACGAAACCCGAATAATCCCTCGATATACATATATTATAACGGCATTAACGCAACATATCGGTTCTCATAGCACACACACTCATTTGTCACAAGTGCCATTCTCTACGCTGTCCCACTCGGTAATGGTCTTCTCCTTTGTCATTACGATTTCCCCCCGAGCTTCTTCCCTATCTTTTTATATCTTTTTTTTTTCCTTTTTTTTCATCGCTGTGCGATCAAGTCGCGCGCAACGATTACTAGATTTGAGTCCGATAACCATGGGCACTATGATATTAGTCGATTCAACTTGAATATTTTCCTGTAATTAAAGGTTGATATATTCTTATCAACGATAAAGATTCCTACAATCAGTTTATTTTTCTCCGCTCACTTCCCGCAATTTTCTCTTTCTCTCTCTCTCTCTCTCCTCCCCGCTCCCCCGGACCCCATTTTCTCCGTTCAATGTCGCGGAATAGATCCATGGCTGGTAAATTTCCTGATTTGTAAGTAACATAGAAAAAAAACAAATAATGATTATGTTGACGTTGATGATGATTGTCGGAAACGTAAGATGCCGTGGCTTTTTGGTAAATAATCCAAGCGTTAATGAATTAGTTAATTTCCATGTAAGCATGACTAGAGATCGATCTTTAATTAATTTTAACGAGTTTTATGTGAGATGTATATTTCAGTAGTAACATATGTAATGGAAGCGCGCGTGTACATTGTACAGGTGATATTTACAATGCACTTCTATGCATACAAAGGGTTGCGTGACCTATATATATGTACGTACGTGTTAACGATATTATCGAGAGAAGAGAGAAAATAAGGAAAAGGGGAAAATATAATCTAGAAACGAAAGAAAAGAGCAGCTTTAAGCGGCGTTGAGACATGATATATAGTTTACGGAAGATGATAATAATTAATTCAGATGATTGTAAAGCTCTATTCAATTGTAAATAAGTAATTTTCATTATAATAATTAGGAGCAATCCGTTAATGCGGTTGCTTTTCGCGAGACACATAGATCGCAGTACTCGTAGCCTCGAGAGAACCATTCGACTTAATTTTCTTTTTTGTTTTTTTTTTCTTTTTTTGTTTTTTTTTCCCCTATTTTCTTTTTTCTATCCTTGTTCTTTTTCTTTAGTATTCACACTCACATTTTTCCTCTTTTCTCCTCGTACTTTTACATATATTTTTTTTCTCTCTTTATTTAATCGTAAGCCCACATTATTGTACAATGGTATACATACATATCTGTTGAATGTGAATGTTAACTTATAATATATTGTCAAAGTTATTAAGTTAAATGCGTTCCATCGTCGGGTCTACGTATTTTACAGAATCGAAAAGATGCCTACATTCTTACACATTACGTCGCGTAGTAATGTCTTGTTAAAAAGAAATGAAAGAAAAATGCCTGTAAAAAAAAGAATTCAAATTCCAATGCGACAAACAAATGCAAGGAGAAAAAAGGAAAAGTAAACGACGGATATTTGTGGACAATAAGTATTACAGGCGATCTTGCGGATAGCTTAACTGCGACAAAAGAAAAAGAAAAAAAAAATAAATAAAAAAAATAAAAAAACGAAAAAAGACAAAAAAAAAGGAAAAAGAGCAAAAGGACAAACGAAAGAGTCCTTTTTTCGAAACTGAGAAATGTTAAAATTGTATTTTGCGAAATTCGGGATACGTCGTATCCTTCCCATTAGTAGTATTCAATGTGTTATATATGTGTAAAATATATCCATGCAGAATCTCATTACTAATTTCGAGCGTTTCTACTTCTTCCTTTTATCATTTTCATTCTTCTTTTTCTTTTTCGGACGGACTAAGTACTCATTTGAACGAGAGAAAGGAATAGTTTGAACGATTAATCGCCAGTCATGGATTATTTAATATCGAAGATAATTGACAAAAGCACAAAAATAAAAAACAAAAGAAAAGTACCTCTCTTTTTTCGGACAGAGAACGAAGAAAAGAAAGTGAAAAAAAATACATTTCTATACGTTTATTATGTAGAAATGAAAGTGTAGTCTCGTTTATCCGATATATCGATAAAAGAATTAAGATGAATGATATATTTGAGGTAATTGTGTATGTAAAATATCTTATTTGCTGAATGCATGCTGTTGTCTGTCTGTGTGTGTGTGTGCGACAAAGAGAATTTCGTGTTCGCGGGCTCATATAATATATATATATATATATATATATATATATATATATATATATACACACGAGAGAATTATTTTGTTCTTTTTTTTTAATTTATGTAACAAAATGAAGAATTTCTTTTTTCATCGCTACGATAAAGATTTTCAAATTGCATCTTTATGCGATAAAAAAGAATGAAGAAAAAGAAGGATGAAAAAGGAAACGACTTTAGGGTTCCTTTAGCTTTATCAAATCCATACCATCTTCTATCCCTTTTTCAAGCTCTGCTAGCGAAAGGTCTCTTCTAAGAACAAGAAATATCGAGCGCGAACGCTTACTGTAATATTCGATTGTTTTATATTTTTTAGTTACATACATATATAAGTATGTATGTATGTGTATACGCACGCGCACACACACACACACACACACACACACACACACACATTGTTTCTAAGACGTCATTGATTTATATTACTGAATAATACCTAATGATAATGATAATGATGATGATATACCGTATAAAAAAGAAATGAAAAAATGAAGAAACGTTTATTTTGATCTTTTCTCGACACTTTTCTTCTTTTTACATAATTCTTCTAGTTTGCTCCAGCTTGTATGCTATACGTAATGAGTTAGAGAATATGCAAAGACACGAGTGAAACGAAGAAAGGGAAAAATATAGAGATAGACACTCTCGTCGGATCGGTCGATTACAATTAATCGATCGAACCATCCATCTATTCATCCATCCATCTATCGAGAGAGCATTATCAATGTGCCGTGCCAAATACTCCGAAAGCGTAAATGGGTCCACAATGTAGCGTACGAAAAAACGCTATTATACGAAGACAGACCAATGTGGTGTACGCCAAACTATAAAGGCTAACAAGAAAAAAAGAAAAATATTAACGAAAATATATTTCATTAAAAATCCTATATATACATATATACTATATTTATGAGGACTCGATATTAAAAATCTTGATGAGAATGGTAACTCGCGTTCGAAGAATGAATTAACAAAGAGACGAGTGCAAGACGACGATGCGATATTATCCGTCTCATTATTATTATTATTATTGTTATTATTATTACTATTACTATTATTAGCATATCGTACGTTTACATTTACATTTACAGACTTGTCGTGTATAAAGTAAAAGCTACGGGTATTAAAATACCCATTATGCTCTTGAAAAGCACCAATGACTTTTGGCTATACAATTTTAATGAATGTTTACGAACGCTTCCGTGCAAGCCAAAAGAAAATGTATTTATTATTAAATAATCGTACGTGTATGTACGTACGATTCGTTTTGTGAATTATGCGATTGAATTATTTGTTCTCTTTTTTTTTATTTTTATTTTCTTTTAAGTGCAGAGTCTTTGTAAATAGGAACAACGAATTTTTCTACTTGGCTTTATCCGATTAGATTCGCCTGCTTCGCATATGTCGGAATTCGAGCGCGCTTGAAAAGCCGGTGATAACGTCCATTTATTTTTTCTTTTTCTTCTTCCTTTTATCTTTTTATATAGTACGTACGTCGTCTCCTGTATTGTACCTAGTGCGTCACGAAAAACGTTTACTTAACAATTATGTATATATATATACATATATATACACACATATATATATATCGCGGATCGAAAAAGGTCTCTATTTATAATATATAAGTTATGTAGGTATAAATGATTAAAATTTAAATATGTTTTAAGCGAAGAAAATAAAAAGACGATGATAATACGTATTAGAAGATAATAGGCATATTCGATGTGAAGTACCTTAGCAACCGTAACACCGTGCGTTTTCTGTCAATGAGGACGTTCGTGCGATCTCTTGGAAGAAAGTATGCTACTTCCCATTCTTATCACCGAACAAACGAATAAGAAAGAAACGCTCGAGAATATGTTTGAGCGACGCTGCGCACGTTAACTTTTGCAATAATATGTCGTATACGTATGTACGATTGAAAGATGAAAAAAAGAAAAACAAATGTACGATGAAATAGGAATAGAAACTACGATCTACTGCATCTGCTCTTTTTTCTCATACCAATGATACTTAATATTTGCGATAAGAGAAATTGCTATGCCCATGAACAAGCAATAAGAAGCGTCTCGCTTCGATCGTGTCTATCTTTCCTTCTTCTATGACACTCGTGTGTTAATGATATATATATATATATATATATATATATATATATGTAGTAGTATGTATATATACATAGACCCAATCGACGATATCGTAATCACTTCGTAATTACGATATCGAAGAATACTTTAGCGCTCATTGGAATAATCGTCTTTAATTTGTTCGAAAAGGAAAAAGAAAATAAAAAATGGTGCGACCACGACAACGCGCCTTTAATTTACATTTTATCGTAAGCGACACAAAGCGATGCTCTTTGGATAATTTATAGAGGGACGTTTAATTTATGGGACGTTTAATTGCTGTGCGACGCAAATTAAAAATCCAAACACGAAAAAAGCGGGCTCGTTTCCCGCTCTTTTCGTTCTCTTAAAATCGAAAGCTTTGGATGGAAAGATAATGGAAAGAAACCTCGCGTATGAAAATATAGGCACACGCGCCTATCATTGTAACATTAAAGTTAGAAATATATGTAACTATATACAAGATGGACGTTCGGTGTGACGCGTGTCTATATATATAGTTATGTGCATACACGCAGAAGTTCTTTCTACGCGAGGTTAAGATACCGATGCTAATTAAAGAAATAAGACAAGACAAAAAAATAAATAAATGACGCGAGACAAGATGAAAGTATGGTGCATACGCATTCCAATGTGGTAGTATAATTTTCTTATACGATCGACCGCAAGTGTTGTACGTACTTAAATAGAATGAATAAAATAAAAGAGCTGTATACAAAGCGTGCCCCGTCAATGGCCCTTGTGCAAAAAAATTGATGCGTTTTTTTGAGTTAATCTCGTTAGTAAAATACCGGCTCGGAAGAGCGTTCGGTATAATCGCGCGCGTCACATATAGACGACGCACGCGCGCAACTCCAACGCACGCAGGCACGCATGCCAACCCCAATTGACTAGTATAGGAGAACGAATCGTCGATCGTTTCGTCGATCGTTTTGTTTTCCTACTTTTATCTTTTCGTTAAACGATTCAAAGCCTTTGCATAGTTTTCGACGACTCATAATCGAAATCATTTTCGTCGCTGGGCTCATCGAGGAAATCAGCAGTTTCAACGTCCTTCTCGAGAATCTCTTGTTGTCTATCCTCGAAATGAAATACCCGATCGGATTGATTTATCAAGACACTTTCTTCGGCAGTGTCCTCGGCATCTTCGGGCGCTAAAAAGAAATTTCCACGAGTTTTGCATTTCCTAAGATAATCCGGATTATCGGGAGCAGCTCGATGGCAGGAATCGCAGACCGTATCGGTTTTTGATGTACAGGAATGAGCTTCATAAAGTCCTGGACCACATCTCGAACAAATCCAACACGGCTGTGTGCTGTGATGCGGACTATAAGTGCCAGGTAGACATTTTGCGCACTCTGTGTCGCGGCCACGAACGCATCGACTCGTTACGCCCCAACCTGGACCACATCTGCTACAATGGGTACCCCCTTTGTGATGCCTTATGCGAGGTCTTCCATTGGTCACCTGGAATCGAAGCAGACAACAGACGGTTAATACGCGGATATCGTTTTTATCGAGCATATATCAACGCTTCTAGATCGATATTTTCAACATCAATGGATCTTTCTCGTATCGTGTAACGTCTCGTAAAGCATACTTTACGAAATGACGACGCACCGAAAGGGATTGAGAGAGAGACAGAGAATCGTCGACGGCAGAATTTCAATACTTTCGATCGGTAAACTTTGACAAAAAGAAGAAAAAAAAAAGAATAAGAACTAGAAAAATACATAGATATATATTCCGGAAGGATATCAATCGTAATTCATCGTAGACGTTAAAACGAGATACGATCTCCCCCGATAGTCTTCTCCGACTGAATTTAGTATTCAAATTCGACCGTTGGAGAACAGGTGTCCAGGAATAAAAAGCACCTGACTCGAGGCGAACACCTTGCGCGCCTTTCTTTCTCTTCGTTTCCGTAAATACAACGAAAATGTAATAAAAATAACTAAAGAGAAGAACACAAGAACGCCCTCCCTCTCGCGTACGCAGTCATTTTCCGTAAAAATGACTAGGTACGTCGAATCTATCTTGTTTCTTGGTATTTAAACATACCTGCTACTGTATAACCTTCTTAATTTCTCTTCTCTTTTTTCGTTAACAAAATGAAAAACATCGGTTTCACCATGGAAAAAGAATATTAATAATCGCTTGTCAAGTTTACATAAAATTTCTTTGTGTTTTTTTTTCTTCTTTTTTCTTTTTTCGTAATTCTTGAATACGTAATTTCACCGTAGACTCTATGGTCTCGCAGCAAACACGCATGTATACACGCACACTCAGTAGGTAGCAGCTGTTGGTAGTAGCCGGTTTCTGGCACGCGCCGATGGTCACTACCGTGTCAAGCGAATCGTCTTACCATCGTCCTTCCGAACGAAAGTAGAAGGAGAAAAGAGATCGGCCACGCCAAGTTCATAAGACGATACTCACAATTAGTCAGCGCGTAAGAATTTACCCTATCGATTACAATTAGAAACGAAGGTACCCAATCTCCGCTTTTGTACGATCGCGAATCAAAGAACGGAAAATGTGTCACAGGTTGGATCGAACGATATCAAAGGATAGTGTATTTTAACGAATAATTATTATTTCAACAAAGAGAGAATATAATGCACAACAAGCTCCTGTCGGTCGCGCATACATATTTCAATTCGAATATCGAAGCTAGGAAAAAGAGCTTTCAATTATTATTCAGGGTACGCGATCGGATATAAAAAATAAAAGTCTGCCT